ACACACGGACGTCTAATCCCAGTGATCAAACTCACTGTGCCATCTGGGCCAGTCAGAGTAGCGCAAGACGAGATCTGGACAGTATGTAGATGAGCCAGAGCAGCACATATGCTGCACCAAGAGGTCACATATGATGAGAACTTGTGATTCAGTTGTAGAGTGAAACTCGTATAACTCCATTACATGCAGGGTAATACATTTCAAAAATGCATGTCTGTTAATTTGCATGATTATAGTTTACATCTAATGAAAACCCACATTTTGGCCCAATGCAGTCATGAGGAACGCTGTCGACTTGCTTGAAACCCTCCATGAGGAAAATAAGTCATAAAGGCTGTTTCTTGACAAAGCTGGTTGTTCACCCAGGGTTATCTCCATGTACATTAATGGAAAGTGGAGTAGAAGGAAAAACACACACAGCCACAGCTGTTCATTGTGTTTTATGAATCTTATTTAATATACACGTTTCACATTTTAAACGGAATTACAGGTACTGGCTTAAAATAATGTTTTAGTAATAATCTAAGTCATTAAGAGGCACCTTTGTTTTTACAATGCCAAGTCACATTCCTGCAGGACATGCCTGGCTCCATCGCCAATTAAAACAAAGCCAGATACAGCATTAGGAAAATTCTCATCCTTGACAGAGTGCTTATTTTAAAAAGTTTTGTCATGTGTAGACATAGCATGGCTTGAGTTCAGGAGGCTCTTTGTTCGTGGGTGAGTCATGGGTATTCATTAACTAAGGAGTTCATGCCCAGCTCGGTTTTGGTTGTGGATTTATAATAAATGTGATCACCTGCTAAGTCTTGAACTGGCATACGTTCTCTTCAACAAAGTTAGGTTTTCAGGGTAAGTTTCAGACATGAATTAGGTTGTAAAATCAGGGCAGAGTGTTTTTTTTTTGTTTGTTTGTTTTTTGTCTCATTATGTGAGTGTGAAGACTACAGTGAAGCTGTGGGAACCAACTGACTACTAGAAATGACTGTTAGTTCCAGTTTGACTAATATCCGAGATCCTCCCATAAGTCATTTTGTTTCCTCTGTCCTGTGGGTCGTTGTCACTGAAATGCTCTGATTTAACTCCTGATGCTGAATGTAAACTCAGATTCCCCCCCCCCCTGGTTGTATCAGTGAACACAGGCAGTGATACAAACAGTTGTTTGATTTTTGCTTTGGTTCTTGAATGCTGTGAAATCCACTGAGATTTGAGTTCAGTCAATTTATTATCGAATACAGGAAATAAAGAGGAAAAATGTGATTTCATAGAAATGAAGTTGCAGCATTTCTTATGACTAGCTGTGAAAAACACTCTAGAAATATCTTTTTTTATTCACAAGACTCCCACATGTCTGTGCAGGGTAATAAAATCATTACAAGTCAATATCTTGATGGCTGGGTTGCTTTCATCTCCCCTGCTGATATTATTATAGTATTTTCTGCTGTTTACATCTGTTTTTCCTCCATCGCCCCACACGTTCTCAATGGCAGACAGAACTGTCTCGGACAGCTCCCCACCTCTTCTGTCCTGTCTTGCTCACGTCTGTCTTTTTGTATATTTATCCATTACTTTGTCTGAGTCACAGAGGTTTTCATTGTTCCACAGTTAGCTTCATTACTGGTGTCTGTGTTGAATGACCTCATCCCAGCTGAGCAAGTCTGAGATACAAATCCGTGCTGCGCGCATAGTTTGTGTTTCTGTGTTCTGGTATTAGTTGAGGAAACTCTGAATTTTGTCGAGCAGAAGTTTAGCTTTATTGTGTTGCTTTTTTTTATTATGTGTTGTGTCAGTGAAATAGCAAAAATATCATCCAGTCATTTCCCATACTTTCTCAAAATTGTGTCGGTGCAAGAGGTGGGTTGCACCCTGGACAGCTCACCTGTCCAGGGTGCAACCTCACCTGGACAGCTCACCTGTCCAGGGTGCAACCTCACCTGGACAGATGAGCTGTCCAGGTGAGGTATCCACCTCACATGGACAGTCCATCATAAACCACGTCCTGGTTTGTGGCCAGCAAAATTAAATGTCACTGTTTTGTTTTTTTACATTAATTAACTCAACTTCCCTATTTCAGAATATGGCTCTTAAATCAGGAACATGTGGATTAACACCCTTAAGCAAAAAACCAAGTTGAATGGCCTTTAGATTCAGTTAGGAGTCCACCAGCTGTACATCCTCACTTGTCAAAGTTTATTCACTATATCGTCCAAATGTTCTCCAAATCGGTCAGATTGTAAAAAAATCTTTTTTTCAGTGAAATCGCCACAAATGTTCATCATTAGCAGTATTAGTCCTAAACTTTGGCTTTGACCTTTTCCAAAAACATTAATTCAATCTTGAGTCATTAAGTTGTTTTTTTGTTCATTTTAACAGATGCTTTGATTCACCATTCCGAAAATGAAATCCTGTTTTAAGTTTTCTAGCAGACGCCTGGAATTTTGGGTCAGTACTAACTTTTAGTTGGAACAGGTAATTATATCCTCCTGGAAAATAAACAGAGTTCAGTCTAGGTGAAAGAGCCCCCAAATCCCTTTCATCATAACCTTTCACAAAGGTCGCAGTGTGCTTTTCATAATTTGTATTGTTGCTCATGCGCCAAATATACCATCTGGAATTGCGGCCCAAACATTCACCTCCCACAGGGTTTTGGGAAATTTTAGCCAGGCATAGATGTTTACTTTGGACAAAAATATGTCAGTCTTGTAATCCTATTCCTTTGTCCAGACATTCGGAGAAGACAGCCGATTGTTGTCACATGGAGAACACAAACACTTGCCAGAAATGTCCTCACAGTGTTGCACGTTTCTTGTTTAGAGTCATCTTTTGGTGATGTCGTCCCACCCGGACATCTGATCTTTGTTATAGGTTTATAAGAGTCATATAATTGATGGCTGATGTGAAGTCAGGAGGACTGAATGTTAAATTTGCATACAAAATTGCTTCAACATGATAATAGCTTGTGAGCACCTATTTGTATCTAGGTTATTGCAACTTTTGGACTTTTTTTCACAGAACGATTTTCTTTTGTTCAAGTGAATTCTGCAGGCTATGCGTCACATGTAAAGTTGAAAAAAATATGACTAATATATATAATGATCTTTTGCATGATAAGAACTTTTGATCTGGGTGTGCATACTTCCACTACATATTGTAGGTTTTAGGCCAGAGAACATCTTGTAATGTTTTAACAATTTTGACAACTTGTGTCAAGCATATTTAACATTTAATAAACATACGATATATCTCAAATTGTTTGACTGGACTCAGATATCCATATGTTCTCAGATGCAATAGGACACTATTGTTTTTATTTAAGGGATAGAGAATGTTTTCCTCACAGCTTTGCAAGCAGAGAAGATACTGTAAGCTGTTTTAATTAGCTTAGGAAAGAAAAATGTTTTTTGAAGTTCCAAAAGAAGCTCTGGAAAAAATTAAGAAACCACTGAACATTTTTTTTCTCTTATCAGCAGATGTATGTGTGTGACAGTCACTGCATTCCAGTGTGAATCCATCACCCATCACTAAATGCTTAAAGAAGACTGGTTAGTTGAATCCAAAAGCAATGTGAAAGACTGGTGGAGAGCAAGCCGAGGTGCATGAGAGCTGTGAAAGAAGAGCAGGATTATTCCAACAAATGCTAATTTCTGAAGTCCTCCTAAGCTTAAACACTTGTTTCATGTTCTGTAAAGATATTTATGCGTTTGCTTTATTGGAGGTTTATAACAATTTTTTGACATTTTGTCATTTTCTGCAAATAAACGCTCTAAAAGTCAATAGTTCATTTGGATTTTGAGAGAAATATTCTTGGAAGTTCATTAAATTAAACAACTGCCTTTATTTTACTCAGTTATATATTTTTTTTTACAAATGTTAAGATTAGTCGTCTAATTTTTTCCTAAAGTTGTATATTTTTAAGACTCTTATTGTGAAGACTTTAAGGAAGTTGTAGTTTCTCTGCTGTCTTCATCTAATAGAATAAATAAAAAAAATAAAAACTCGCCTTATTGTTTTTGGCTGTCCTGTGAATAAGCTGCACCATATGCTCTAATGAATCTGATCAGCTGATAAGAGTTAGACAAATCAGACTGAAGAGCGCAAACATATGGTTGAATGTCAACTTACCTTTATCATTGGCATCTAGGTATCTAGAAGCTGCTGCAGGCTTTTTGTTTCCTTCTCTAGGTAGTGAAGATGAAACCATGTTCAAAAAGTCTTTGTTGTGCCGTTACTAAGTCCAGACTCTCTTGGCTCTGCATTCTATGACGTCAATTAAACAGGGGAGTGACAACACAGATTGCAACTGGAAGTACGTAAATATTATGAATATTTACAGTATTTTAATATTAATATTAAAATAAACGTGTAATATTAACACATTTTACCAATATTTTTTGGTTTAGTTCGATTGCTGAGCTGGCTTGTTGTAGACGATGCCATTATCACTCAACTGTCTGTTTTCCCTGCAATCAGGTGTGGTTATACCATCCACTGCTATCAGCTTGTGGTGTCGTATGATTTGCATCCTACTTGTCATTCATAGGTTATTGTTTAAGTGAAACCAGCTCCATTTTATACAAAGAGTCTAAATGTTGCTGTGGTGTATATTACTCTCCATATAAGCTCCTTTGAGTTAAAATAAGATGGCAGACATGTAGACGAACATCTCGCCGTACTGTAAAATCAAGGGCATGCCGCCGTTTTTACCTTTTTCCAAGCAAAACACACAGTAAGCCCCTCCCCCTCAGCAAGGAAGTTTCCCTGCAGAGCCTGTTTAGGCGACTCCACCCACCTTGAATACAATAAGAGTGGGCACCAACCTGTTATGGAGTGAAAATGTGTACGATGACGGGACCTGGCCTGTAACAGCCTCCATGTGGCTGGAAGTGCATGTCCAGGCAGCTGCCTCATGGCCCTCACAGACTGTGGGAGCCTGGATAAATGTGTGTTAGCTCTGGGCCAAGGAACAATCCTAACCCATGTCTCTGTGTTTCTTTTTTCAGTCCGCTGCAGTCTCAGATGGAGGTGAGTACATGAGCCTTTTAAACATTTAACACCGTCCAGAATGCTTTCTTATTATATTTTGAATCTCAGCAGTGAACGTACAACTGGGTTATGATGAATGACCAACTTTAGAGTATCATGTTTAGCCACTTAAACATTTCTGTACTAACAGGAATAAATTTTACCTGTAGATGTCTTTCTGTGTATTTTGCTGCTAAACTTCTTGTTGTTTCTAAAGTCATTTGAGTCCTTTTAGTGTGCTGGGAACTTCCTTGTTTTTCCTGTTGCCATTTTTCCCTCTCAGTCCTGTAGTTTCTAAAGAATACTGGTTTTTCCAAACTGACTAGAGGCGTGAGTGCTCGCTGTTGTTCCTAAGCGTTTCAGATCAAATCTACAAGTGAGTTTATATCATTTGGGTTCATATCAAAACTGATCAAATTCAGTGGTACTCTACATCTTAAATAGTAAAAAAAAAAAAAAAAAAAAACAGTAGTTCTGTTTTTTGTTTTTTTAGGGGACAATCTGGTTTAACCTGCTCAGCTCCTTCCCCACCTCTGTCTGCTCTGCAACAGCTGCAATCAATGCCGAGTGTCATATGTGTCACCACATTAACTGTGCGGAGACATCCAGCAAAAAGTTGTACATAAGACACTGATTGAGAGCTTAGTTGCTCCTTTCCAGCAGAAGACAAAATTCACTTTTATGATGGTTTTGTGAGATTATTTCAGAAACAAGCCCATTTGTTGTGTTTAGTTGAACTCTGAAAGGATGCTGGTGCTTTTGCGTTCCTCGCAATATAGCGATTTCACCCTTTAGCTATTTCAAACCTGTGGTGGAAAATTTGCACTTTTAGTAGTTTAACATCGAACTTTTCCAAGTACAAATGGGAGCCATCTGCCACAGGACGTTTTGCACCAGGCAGTATTAATTTGGATTTGCCACGGGAATGTTTTATGCTCACTTTGAACTATCCATAGTACTTTACTACATTCTGCTCATAGAGAAACCAAAGGAAATTTGGTCAGAGGATTTCTATAAATAATGTCCACCAAGAGGAGGTCACTCTAGGTTATTTTGCTTTTAATTGGTCATATTTAATTAGAGTCATCTGGCCTAAATAAAGATCAGAAGCTCAACTAATGGGAAAAGTTAAAAATAAAGTCTTTGGAAAATTACACAGAATGCAATTCGATTATACATGAACAATGACATGTTGGCCTTTTCATGATTTTTCATCCCCGAGATATATCATAATCAGACTAACACAAATGTAATATGTGCTCCTAATGCTTTCTGCATTGACACTTAAAACTACCAAGAAAATTGAGGTGGTATAGATTTGTTCTCTTTATTCAGGTGTGAAATTGTAGAAGGACGGAAACCAAATGACGCTTGGGTTTTGAATTTACCACTCTACAAATGGATGTACTTGATCCAGGGCCAACATTTCTGAAGCTATGTTGCGTCACAACATGTTTTTCTTGCCAAGTTGTTGCATGTTGCAATGAATTAGCATGTGGATACATTCTGATGGGATTTTATCGCCCCAGAAATTTACATATAAGGCTTAACTGAGGCCAGATGGAAGATAAAAGATGTAAGAAGTGGCAGACAAAAGGTTTTTAAGCAGTTTGTTGTTGACGCTCAGTTTTAATGTAGAAAAGTTTATGATCTTATTTACTCTGTAACTAAGACCAGTGAATCACTCTTTTGTGATTTATGAGCAAAGTTAAACCCGTTCTGTGCTCGTGTGTGAGACGTAAACAGCATAAAGATTGTAACGTTTATGGAAAAATAAACTATTTTCTTTAACATCAATTGGTGTGTTCTTTAAATTTACACAGAGAAAAACACTGAGTTTTTAGCTTGCATTACCATCATCAAGCTAAAGAAAGCTGTAAAAAAAAAAATCCAAAGAAGGGGTTACAACCTGAGCAACAATGTCTGAAATAATTAGCAGCATTTGTTTCTTTCTTGAAATTTATTCCAACAGACATTGTCAATGTATTAACAGCAGAAAGTAGTTATTAAACCTTTTATTATTTGTAAAATTAAAAAGTAAATATTATTTTGTGCTTGGTGTAAATATATTTAGAAATACAGTCTATAGACATTCACCACCATTCAGTCCTTGCTAGTATTTCTTCCTTACAAAATGCTTTCACACCTTGGGATGTGTGCTCTGTGTTGATGAGATCTAAATTGAGTTTGTGGTTGTTGTTTTTTACACCACTTGGTACTCTAGTCGTCATTAATGCTCTTCAACAGTAACATGCTATATATGTGCAGAATCAGCACAGTAGAGCTGAGCTTAGTATTTGATTGTCTTTATTGTAAATCTTTCCTGTTATGTCTGTAGTTTCTGCTATGAATCTTCTAAACATTTTTGAAGGTTAAGCATAGCATGGGCTCTTTGATTCATCAAAAAGTGTAAATGGCAGCTTTTTATCCTGTGTGTGCGTGTAGTAGTAGTGTTGGGGTTCAGGCTTCATTAGTCTCAGTAGAGGCCTTCCTTTAACGAGCCTTTCATCAATGCCGCGCTTCAAGTGTGTGTGTTTCTGTGACGTGAGTTTGTGTTTGTGCTTTAGTGTCCCCTCCCTCGTCTCTGAATTATTTACCACCTCGAGGCCGGCGTGCACTTGGATCACTTACCTGGCTGGAAGCTAGTGCCTGTGTGTTAGTGTGCATGCAGGTGTGTGTGTGTGCATGTGTGGGTGTGTGTGTGTGTGTGTGTGCGTGCCTTCTGCGACCCAACTCTCTCTGTGGTTCCTCAGGTTGTCGTCCAGGTTGCTAACCAACGGCAGCGCCTCTTTCTGGACCTTTTTCTCTTTCCCCCCTCTCTCCAGTTTCTTCCTCCCTGTGATGTCAGCTGTTTGTGCCCTTTATTGGACTATTTGTTCAGGCTGAAGTGTTTGAGGTTTTGAGGCGGGGGGGTGGGGGAGAGTGATAGGGCCCCTGATAGGGTGATTATGGATGTAGGGGCTTGGTTACCCCAAAGGATTCGATACTTGCCCCGCTGGCACCACACAGGCTCCTACCAGCTCTACCCAGGTGAGAAAATCGCAGGAGTTTTCATAGATTGTTTTCCAGCTGGAGGAAAATGTAGAGCGCAAGAAGGAGCAATAAAACTTACTGAATGGTGGAGACTGTGGAATCGAATATCTTAGTTACTATACTGACTGAGGTTTAAGAGGAATCTTAATGCTGCAGCTGATGATAAAATATTGCAATTTTTTTTTCACTTAATGTGTGCTGCACAGTTAGCATTTTGGCTAATCACTTCATTTATTACAAAAGAAAACCATTTAATGTTGCACTATTAAAAGTGTAGACAGTAATTTAAGACAGGAAAATGTTTATTTACCTTTTGTGTGCTGACTTTACCTACTTTCCTGTCTGTTAAGCAGAGCTAGCTTAAATTCTGGATTTAAGAAATATGCTACACAATTTCTCCTATGAGTCTCATGGCAAAAAAACATATGTTGCTAAAGTTTTCGTGCCTCTTGAATTATTTTACAATTTTTCAAATTACATTCACAAAATGTAATGGAATGTTTCTTTGGGGATTTTATGTGATAGACCAAAGCAAAGCAGTGTGGATTTGAAAGAAACCGATAGGTAAAAGAAGGTGCTCTGCTAAGACGATTTTGAAATTGAACTCTTTTTACCAACATGCAAAACTCTGAGTGGTGAAAAAATAACTTTGGAAATATTAGCTGCTGGGTGAGATCAGCCTAATATCATGCTTTTGTGAGAAACAAACAAACGCGATTCAATAACATAATTATAACCTGCTGCATAAAGCCGCTGCTTACTGTATTTTTAGTTAGATTTTTTTGAGGGAACTTTGTTTTATCCATCTGTCTCTGTGATAAGTGCAGTGGGGTCTGTGATGCTGAACAGAGCGCTTGGTTTAGACAGCACAGACAGGTTTACACAGATTAATGTCTTCTCCTTATATACAGTGATAAAGCTTCATTAATATTTAGCAGAAGCCTCAGGAGTTTATTTTTAATCTGCCCTTGAAGAGAACTTTGCTGTGAAATGTGTGGATAAAAACATTTCGTTTTGTTGCAAACAATTTTAAAGATCCGGTGTGAAAACTGTCACTGATAAATAATAATAATCAATTAAAAAAGAAAAAGTAAGAAATGAAGCGCAAAAGCAGAAGTCACATTGAAAGTGTCCACCGATCGCCCAGATTGGAGGTTTTTAATCAGAGAGGACTTTAGCAGTGGGTACAATCCTCCTCTTTCACATTTTTTATTTTTTTTTATATTTATTTACAGCATCTGCGTTGTTCAGGGCACCTGACTGCCGCTGTCCTCCCTGTGGCTGTTCTCCCTTTTGGTTTTATCTCAACATAGCAGGCCACTTTCTGTTAGTCTGGCCTGCAGCTCATTGCTGGTTATTCTCAGCTCCCCTCCTCGCCTTCTGATCAGAGCTAAACGGTAGGAACATGGGCACAACGCGGCGGAGTGGTGGGAAACACAAGCAATTCTTGGATTGCCCAAGACTCTCCCAAGAATAATAAAGCATGGATTGATTCAGAAAGCCTATTAGATTTGAATATTACGAGTGTTTTCAGAATTACGACTTTTTTTGAGAAACAGTCAGCTTTATTGGCCAGGACTGTGGGCACTCATGAGGTTCAAGTGCCCACAGCATATAGACATTAAGTATAAATAAACCGGTTATAAACCGCATATAAAGAGTTATTAAAGTTTTTGTGAATAATACAAGTAGCTCGGTTTTAACTAATTGGACTTCTAGGTTTTCTAGAGCTGTATCTAGAGAAACCCAGGAGCAGAAGATGGTCTCCCAGGGCAGGTTTCTACCTGTGCTTTAAAACTGACAGGGGAAACATTGGTGCCTAATGAGTTCCAGTGCGACTGCGCTGCTTTCAGCACAATCACAGCGGACTCCACTGAAATTCCCTCCGGAGTCCGTCACTACACCCAGATTTCGGGCCTCATCGCTGGTTTCCAGCTGTAAAAGCTGAAGCTGTGTGCTGTTCCTCTTCAGGTCCGAAGATAATAACCTGTATATTGTTTCTGTTGACCTGGAGAAAGTTACGGCACATCCACGCATTGATTTATGTGTCATATGTCTTGTCTTCTAATAGAAGATAGTGTTACAATACTGATGTAACTTTATATTTATAAAAATTAATTCAGATCTCATCTTGTTTTGCAGTTGATGCAAAAAGAGTTTAAAAAAAAAAGCATGTAAATAATTGCAAACAAAATCATCTTGCAATCAAAAAGTTGCAGTTTTAGCCACAGGGTGTGATTAAAAGTACTATTCGGGTTCAGCACTTTTACCATTATCATTTATCGATTCTGATTTCCCATTTCACAAACGTCTGACTTGCCAATTCAAATTTCAATAAAATCAAATTTTTTTATCCCAACGGTTTGGTTGGCATAGCAGATTTGAAACTTAACAGAAAATTTAAGAAACTACAGCAACTTAGTAGAGAAAGTCGCTTTGCAATTTGAAACGTGTGGGTTTGATTCCAGCTTCCACATGTCGATATGCCCCCAGGTAACCCCAAGTAGATCTGTGTATCTATCTGTGTGTGAATGTGTGGCTGGGTGAATGTGGCTCAACAGTAAAGTTCTTTGTGTGGTGTAACTAGAAAAGCACTGCATATAAATCTACTCCATTTACTACTTAATAAATTATACCATTATCCCTGTTTATGCAAGAAAGAAAAAAAAACATTTAGTTCTTCTTTTCAATTCACAGTAGTCTATTCCGCATTTAATTAATGCAAAGGAAAAATCTGATTCCCCAATAACAGACTTGTCAATGACTGATCATTGATAACTGACCGAGTCAAAACTGTCCGAACGCAACCTTTGGCGGGCTGATTTGCACGTCACTAAATTTGAGTGGTTCCAGCCTTTAAGAACTCAAGGATTTAATGTTGCGTGTGGATTTGTTTTCGTAAACAGAGCTGAACAGCGTGGAGCTGCAGGGCTGCAGCAGCGACAACAGTCTGAACAGCAATGCCAGCCTGCCCAGCGTCCAGAGTCACCGGCGCCACACCGAGAGGAGGGTGGCCAGCTGGGCCGTCTGCTTCGAGCGGCTGCTGCAGGACCCTGTAGGAGTCCGCTACTTTTCGGTAAAATGACACCGCCTGAACGTGGCTCACCAGCAGATGCTGTGAACAAGCAGATTCTAAATGTGTTTGTCAGCCGTTATTTCAAAGGTTTCACGATACCGCTTAGTCTAACGAGATTCCCAGAAGCTTTAGGGAGAGAATCAAGCCCACAGCATCACAGATCTTCCACCGTACCTAAAAGTGGGCGGCAAGCCTGTTTTTGTTAAAAAAAAAGTTGAATTCAGTCTTTATCTGACCTGAACATATAACTCCAGTTGAAGTCCAAGTAGAATTAGGAAACTCCACATATTTTGATGGTAGGATATGAAAGTGGGCTAACATTTAGCGACCCTGAGATGCCTCTCTTTGCTTCATCTCTCTAATGTGAGAGAGGTTTTCTTTTAACGTCTTTACCAGCTTCCTTCCTCTGCTTGGTGACAAGATAAACATGAGTCCTCATCCAACTTAGTGACCAGTGACTAAAGTGGATCTCTGGACTTCTCTGTTTGGTTCTATTTATTTGAAATGGTTTGTTAGATGTACTAAAATTTGGTAACCATTAAATTTTTTTTATAGATATGTTTATAATTTTTTTGTTTAAGAACAACAATACAACACAAACCAAAATCTCAGCAGTGCAGTCCAAAGGAGAGGAAAAAGGGAAAGAAAATATAGAGGGCATACATATTTTCATCATTTTATAGTCAAAGTCTAAGAATTTGTAAATGCTCAAGACAGGATGGTGGACATGTGGTCATCAGCATAGTCCAAAAAGGGCTTCCATATGCATGCAAAGATGTCAGTCTTTGGATATTTTCCAAAATAAGCTTCTTCCACCCAGAAATAGAAGGAGACTTTTTGGAAATCCATTGCAACAAAGTATTCTCTCAAGCACAGAAGATTAGGATATCGTACAACTTACTCTTGTTTTGATTTTGAATATGTTTACTTGGTAGACCAAGGAGAAGAGACACTATCACATTTAAAAAAAAAAAAACATTAAAAGCATTTTTTTCCTAAAATGGCATTAATTTCCCCTTTTCATAAATATCGACAATGTTATTTTATTTGCATAGCAGATTTAATCAACTGAACCATTCAAAGTGCTTTGTGTGATTAAAAAGAGAGAAAAAAAACAACAAGCAAGAAACAATAAATTGATATTCAAATTAAATGTAGGATTCCCAACATTTTAGGAGTTTTTAAACATTTTCGCCAGCTTGCTTCAGAAATTTGTATATATTTGTATAAATTTGTATATATTAGCTATATTTACAGTGCTTCTGCTACTGTAAATATAACTCTATTAAATTATTACAACACAGTTTTGCTCAGTATTATACTCAGCTGTGTGGCAATATAGGGTGAATCATATCACACAGATTCTGCTTTTACTTTTTACAGAACAAATGCGTCTTTCAACTTTTTCTACGTGTTTCTGATTAAGACCTATGCATGAATTTGTCTGATTGTGTGTGTTTTTTTTTTTCCGTCTTCCAGTTTTTAATCCATATTTCATCTATTTTCTGCAGGAGTTCCTAAAGAAGGAGTTCAGTGAGGAGAACATCCTGTTCTGGCAGGCCTGTGAATTCTTCAGCCATGTTTCCGAGAACGACAACAAGCAGGTAACATACCTTATTTGATTAATACTTTTAGCACACACTTGCATCCATTTGAATCCCTCCTGTATTTTCTAATTTTTATTTTTTATTTTTTTAGCTCTCGCAGCGTGCCAGAGAGATCTACAACAGCTTCCTTTCCAGTAAAGCAACAACGCCAGTCAACATCGACAGTCAAGCCCAGCTTGCTGACGATATCCTCAACGCACCAAAACCGGACATGTTCAAGGAGCAGCAGCTGCAGGTACGGAGACATGTTTTTATAAAGGCTTCTGCTACAGTTTTGACCTTTCACATGCAAAAAAAAAAGAAAAAAAAAAAGAGCCATTTCCTGTTAGACTAATTTATTATTCTTCTTAAAAGTGAATCAAAACATAACTCCTTTGAAAATGCTCTCTGGACACAGTGTCAAGTGCTCACACAACACAAGGCCAGTCATTCATCTTTGCCTGCTGTCGAGCAACACCGACCTGAATGGCTCCTTACACATGCATGTTGTCGACGGGGCACAGCGTCTGAAAAGCCCTATTGATTTCAGCTGTGAAGCTCAGATGTTCAAACTCTGATAAGGAAGTCACAAGGCCTGAAGGATATCCTCACTATCATGCTTTTTTTTTTTTTTTTTTTTTACATATTAGACACCCACACATTTTCTGTTCAATAACTACACACACACACACAAATCGGAAAGCCTTATGGTAACCTTGCCAGAATATCTTGGGATTGATGTTAAATCCATGATTGCATCACAGTCTTCCGTTTTCTTGACCTTTCATTTCAGAAGCTAAACATTTGATCTTATATTTTCAATCACAAATAAGATGTAGATAGGTTGATTACTTTTATACCTCTTGAGGTTTTTCATGTTTTGTCATGTTAAACCACAAGCTCTATGGGGATTTTATGTGACAGACCAACACAAATGATTGTAAATGGAGAACGGATACATGGCTTTTAAAGTTATGATACAAATCCATATCTAAAAAATGAGGTATGCATGTTTTTTTATCTTCTGAGTTACTGTTTTCCAGAACCATATATTGTTAGATTTTCAGCTGCGTCACACAGCTGGTCTTATGGAGTTCCTCTCTAGCAATTTTATCACACTGCAGTGCTTAGATACATTGTAGCTCTGGTTATATATTTAGAGTATTTGTCTTGCTGGACATATTTCATGGCCTTCACAATGCTGTTTCTTCCGTAACAAACTCCTGAGATCTTCACAGAACAACTGGAATCATATTAGATTAATTTACACAGATTATAGTTCACAGGTTGAACGAGATTTTTAAAAAAATCAAATCAAGAGGTACTGGAAACAAAAGCATGTCACACTTTTCATATTTTCTTTTTTTTTTGTTAAAAAAAAGTTATTTGCACAAGGATTAAAAATACTTTTTCTAAGACACCAATTATGTTATGTAAAGTTGTCTATGTTGTGTTCCCAGGTATTTGCAGCTTGGCCAGCTCCTCCTAAATAAAGTTAGTCTGAAGCAGCAAATCTTAAAGACTTTTCCCATAAAGATGGGGATTAGACATAAGTCAAGCTTGCTTTGTTTTTTCCAAGAGAACGCGTTCCAAGAGCAGCTTAAAGGTTTCATCATTTGGTTTAACTTCACTTTTATTTTTTTCATTTTCCGCTTCAAAATACCATACAGATTGTCTGAGTAGTTTTGCTCACCTCTTGTTTTTTTTTGGATTTTTGCACATATTTCTTTCCTGTTCTAATGTTCATGGATTGCTCATTTTTTCATCATCGTCTGCGTTGCCTTTTTTTTATTTTTTTATAATCTAACCTCCCTAAATCTTTTCCCTCCCGACTCCATTAGATCTTTAACCTGATGAAGTTTGACAGCTACACGCGATTCCTCAAGTCTCGGCTGTACCAGGAGTGCATGCTGGCTGAGGTGGAGGGTAGACCGCTTCCTGACCCCTATCACATCCCCAGCAGCCCAACGTCAAAGCACAGCACCACCGGCTCCGACCGCTCCAACCTCTCCACTCCCAAGAAGGTGAGCCAGCAGAAATCCTTGCGTCTTGACTCAAATGGAAAAAGAGCATGCCTTTTTGGATTAATACCCTGGATGTTCATGTTTATGAGTGGAAACGGCTTAAGTTTGCAGCTTTAAATAACAAAAAATTGTGTCCACATTTGTTTGTGTGCCTATCGGCTCCTCCACTCATCGCTGTGTTTCTTACAGGAGGACAAGAAGACCAAATCAGGGCGGTCTCTGAACGAAGACAGTCGGGATGACTCAGGAGACCGGAGGAAGGGCATGTTTTTCTCGTGGTCCCGAAACAGGAGCTTTGGCAAAGGCCCCAAAAAGCGAGAGCTGGCTGATTTTAATTACAGTCAGTCCATTTTCCTTTCTTCATTTCATAACTTCTGTCTGCTGGAGAGTTTGTTTCGAAACAAGAAATGATAAAGTGATCATGCATTGAAAATTAGAAAATTTAGTCTTGGTGTTAAGACGCTCGATTGATGACGGATAAATAATCTGTTTTTTTGTACTTGTGTTTTTTTTTTCTGTTCCTAAAAACAACCAATTTGCATCTGCGGTGCTGCTAAGATGTTATCTGATGAAGCATTTAATTTGAATCTAGTCAGGAGGCACTCTTACACTCAGCATGTGTTTGCTCATGATGCTTCTCATCAAATTTTTTTTTTGCTTGTTTGTGTATTTTCAGGCACCAACGGTCGTCGGGAGTCCCAGGGTTCGCTGTCCTCAGGAGCCAGTCTGGAACTGGGGACGTCAGGTTCGGGGAAGAATGAGGTCAGTCTGATGGGAGTCATCTTGATCTAATCAGTTTGCTAATAATTGGTTCATGGAAGCTTCTTTTTGCATGAAGCAGCTTTTAATGTCAGTGTTCCCTTTAAAAGGAAGACTTAATGGCAGATTTTTGTGAATTTTGATACAGATTTTAACATATTCTAATTTCTAGTTAGGAACTAGGAAGTATACTTTTTGAGTTTCCCTGCATGAGCTGCATTACATTTTTATAGTAGTAGAATAGGTGACACCACATGTCACTGTGGAACATGGTTTTATTGACATTTTAAAGCAAAGGCAAAATGATTATAAAGTTTAGCTCCTTATTTTAGCGTTTAGCTCATTTAGCATCACTAGCATTACCAAAACCGCTGTATTCCCAATGGTCTCTATAGATCCTTAACTCAGAAATTTCCAGAAGGCTGCCAGCGATCCTAAATCTAGCATGTTCTGTGACAGAGGAAAAGGCATAAGATTGAGGGATTTTGCTGTAGTCATATCAGCCTTCTTGTTATCCTCTCAAAATCTTGCACTCTAACTCTTTTGCACACCGAGCAAAATGCAGACTAAAATGTCCGCACATGAAAGTACTCTTTAGATAGTTTCTCGTGTCTCTCTGTTTCACCTAACGTCGTTATGAATGCTCTGCTGATGCTAAAAAAAAATACATAATTTTGAGTTCTATATTTGCTCAGTAAGAACTTCTCACATGTAAATGGCCTTTAGTGTCGATTACAGTGCATTCTCTGAATAATGAGAGTTTCTGACCGGCAGGTCAAACTGTAAATCAGCCAGTTGTGGTCATCTGCAGAACTATCGGTGCATCTCTACTTTTGCTACTTTTACCGATTTTCTCAAGTTTCTGTAACATTTTGATACAAAATTTGTTTCTGTGGCCATCTGTGCAGCAGATGGTAAACAGTCATAGAGAAGTGGCAGGATGCATGTAAGGCAAACAGAACACACCCTCACCCAACATGGAGTGAGGGTGATGTTAGCATGATGTTATTGCCTATTGTGAGGCTTCCATCAGCAATCATAAACTCACTAGCGTTCTCCAGTAAATCGTGTCGCTGTTTTCCCGTTCTCCGTTCTTTGCCTTCATCAAATCAGTTGACATTTCATCGTATACCGAACAGCATTAAACAGAACGGGACAATATTCCTCTGCGATTCATAAAACATACGGTCAGAATTGATTAATTTAAAAATGTTAATCATAAATAACAAAAACAGGAGCTCATCATTCTGAATGCTTGAGGCAGAAAGTTGTGTAACTGTCTGCTTCTGCTCCTGGCACCGTTTGTCTGGCAGCAGAGGTTCAGAAGGTTAATGTGATCCAGAGCCTGGTTCCTGTCGCAGCTCTGAGATTCTGCACAGCGGGGAAACTGGCCTTCTCGGTTCCCCTCACTGTCCTCTGCAGGACACCCTTATTAGTAAATTATTTCATATAAATTTTCTGCATTCTTAGTTTATTTCTTCAAATTTCTGTGTTTGTGTCTTTGAACAAAGACAGAAGGAGAGAATAAAGATGTCAGAAGATGATTACATTGATGATGATTAACTGTTTACATTTAATTTGATTTTAACATATTGTTCTCATCTATTGGTGGATGTGCTTTTTATTATAGGTTTATCTGGTTATTTCTGTTTGTGAAGTAAGATATTAATTTATTTGTACTCCAATCTCCATCTTAGGAGAGATTGGACCTATTCATAACCTATTCAGAGATCATCGTTAGTAGAAAACGCTCATCAACAGCACACACTGGTATAATCTTGTTACAGTTTCTCTCTTCATCAGGACCACTTTTGATGTCCTTAAAAATATTTTTGTCAAATTTAATTTCTGAGTCACAAGCAGGAGGTTAGGAAGATGATGAAGCACAAATTACCCAAATAAGATCAACCTCCTTTCCTTTTCTAGCATGACGTTTCCCGTGGCGCCGTATCAGAACGAGGAGGAGGCAGCGCCCCCTTGAGGCAGTGTAACATTAGCTTGCCAGATGGCTCGTGTTGCCCGGTGCCGCTTCGGCCCGGCATGTCCATCAGAGACCTGCTGCAGGGCCTTTGTGACAAACTCTGCATCAACCTGGCAGCAATAGACCTTTTCCTTGTCGGAGGAGAGAAGGTAAACCTCTGTGTGTGTCTGAGCTTTTGTGATTATGAGTAGATCTGAGTTGGTGTCCTCCAGCTGTATTTCTCTGTATTTTATTCATATAAATAACTAATTATTTACTTTGCTTTTTTTTAACTTTATTTTTATTACTCTGATACATATTTATATCATAGGAATGAGCAGCTACCTCAATATATGACTATTTCCTGTCTTTTTTTTTTTCTCAGCCTCTTGTTTTGGACCAAGACTGTATGACCCTCAGCTCCCGAGACCTGAGATTAGAAAAACGCACTCTGTTCAGGTACAAAACACGTCAACAGTAGAGATGAACATGGGACTGCAGACCACGGCTCACACAAAAATATGATTTATTGTCTTTGTATTCCTCTGCCAGGCTTGACTTGGTCCCCATCAACCGCTCTGTGGGTCTGAAGGCTAAGCCAACTAAACCAGTCACTGAGGTCTTGAGGCCTGTTGTGGCCAAATATGGGCTGCACCTCTCTGACTTAGTGGCACGTATAGTAAGTACAGTATTTTCCTTAGGCTGAAGGCAGATGCTGTAATCTACAGTGCCTTTCAAACATATTCATACCTGTTCAATTTATGCACATTTTATAAAATAATAAACACAAATCTCAGTCTGTTTCATTGAGATTTTTAGCATTTATTTATGTTTGACTGCCCTTTAATCTAACACCATTAAAAAGCTCCAGTGGAACCCTGTGTGTGGTGTAAGTTAAGTATTCTGTGGAGGTTCCAGAGGTTTGTTGGAGAATATTAATGAACAAACAGCATCATGGAGACCAAGTAAGACTCCAGATAGGTCAGGGATAGCAATGGCCAACAAAACATGGCCATTCAACAAAACTGGTGAGCTGTGCAGAGAGTGGATCATTCAGAGAAGAAGACCTATTATAACTCTCGAGGAGCTATAGAGATTCACAACTCGGGATTGGAAGAATCGAGAGAATCCTCCACAAATCTGACCTTTATAGAAGTTTTGCTAGAAGAAACCCAAGAGATGTCCAGTTTGAAACAAGACATGTAGAAGAGACAAGAAAGATTTGCCAGAATGTGGTTTGAGATTAACACTGAATTTTTGACCTTTATGCAAAACGCTGTGAGTGGCGAAAGGATAACAGTGGACATCATCCTAAATATGCCATCCAGAGGTTTACCTTCACACAGGATAACAGCAAACATACAGTCAGAGCTACAGTGTACCGATACTAAACCCAATAAGTAATGTTTACAATAACTTTCCAAGCAATTTGACCTAACCTTGGGCATTTTGCATTTAAAAAATGGACAAATGTTTTAGTCTTTAGTTGTGAGAAGCTTGTGCAGTCATACATCTTGTGCTGAAATTGCAGCAAAAGTTGGTTCTACAACTCACAAGGGATAACGACACATGCAAGCCTCAGTTTTTCATTTTTTTAAATAGCCAATACAAACCTCTTTTAAAATGTCTTCCTGTGATGCAGAGCGGCGAGTCGGAACCTTTAGATCTCGGGCTTCCTATTTCCAACCTGGATGGTTTGCGAGTTGTGTTAGACACTGAAGAAAACGCCATGGGAAAAGGTGAAAAAAACACAGACACACATCGTACCCATTCTTCTTCTGTTTGCTGGTTTGTAATTGAATTGAAGTTTTGTTTCCTCACACAGACAAAATCAAAGCAGCTCAGAGTCACCTTCCGGCCTCTGCGAGCAGGAACCAGTCAGCAACAGTGAGCTCTCCTCCGTCCTTTCGTTTCAAGTTTTCTTCCCGTTCCTGAATGTTCTGTAACCCTCTGAACGTCTCCACTGCCTGGTTGATAATGTCACGCTCTACTAAGTGTCCCTCCTGCTGTCTTCAGTCACCCATGTCTGTTTGCTGTGTGTTAAACATGCTCACAGGTGTGTTTTGCTGTGGTGCAAAAGGAGCTGCATCACTCTGTTGAGGTTCCCTAATGTTCTTTTAATGTGGTCTGCCTGTGGCTGGATGCATCATCAACTTTCCTCTCTGGTTTTTCCTTTTTTTCCCCCCTGTAACAACGCCAACTTTTGCTGGGTGCCGGGATCTTCAGCAATGTGTCGTAGTGGTGGTGGAGGAGCTTGTAGTTCGCTGTAGAGACTTTCTTTTCACTGTCCTCATTACCTTCAGTAAATCCCAGGATCTGTTTTGAGAAACAGATTGTTTCCCTTCACTGTTAGTTGCAGTAGTGCAGCTTTAAGTAGTGGATAGTTTGCCCCTCTGGCGTTTTGCTCTGTGAGCCTTTCACGTTGATGATGCCGAGCACACAAAGCGGCCATTGTAGCTGTCTCAGTGGAGCATCCTAGGACACGTTTTTACTGAATTTATTTTCCATACACTGCCTGGCCAAAATGAAAGGCAGCACCTGCGTTTAGCTGAACCAACAGGTAAAAATCCTTCATCTGGCAAAAGACTGCAGAGGCTGCTATGTTCAGTTAGCAGCAAGTGTTGAATGTTGTTGCGAGCAAATTCCACATCCTGAAAAATATGTTTTTCACAATCAAAAACTCAAATTGTCAGTGTGCATCAAGCAAACAACAAACTTACAAGACCGCTGCAAACAGATTTGGATAAAGGACAAGCCAATGCATTATTTAGAAACATGAGTATGTAGTGTTTAAATGTTGATAGAAAGAGGCCTGCAGCGTTTAATATGTTTTATTTCCTATTTTCATAAAATTATCCCTCTAAGAAATCAAAAAAGGTCAAATATATTCTACACCAATGAATCCTGACCTGTGTTTCTGGAAGGCCATGACTTAGAATAAAAAGGGTTTTAGGGTAACATTTTATTGGTTTGACTCAGCTTTTTTATACTTTGTATGCATTTCAAAAATGTCATACATCAGCAACAGATAATTTGCCGCTTAAATCTTGATAGAAAGATCAGTTAGTTACAGAGATATAAAATGTCAAATCCGAAAGAAGAAGGTAGTTTGACATTAAGATCTGAAACTCTAAGGTGTGATTTTTGTAGACTAATTGAGAAAACATTGATTTAAAAAAAAGTACATTTCAAGAGGAGCAGGAATTGATCATTTTTGTTCTGCATTCCTGTTATCAGGTGAAAGTCATGCTCTCTCTCCTGCAGTCTGAATGAACTGCACCGTGTCTGAACATAGTTTGCTTTCAGCTTCTTACATCTGTGCTTCATCTGACTTTAGTTATTCAGAGCTTAAGGATATTGAACATAGCTCATTTTTAGTTTTCTGGAAACACTAGCAGGAAGACTTGGTAGCAGTTTTGATAAGCCAAAAGTTTCCAGTTTTGCAGTTTCCAGCTGATCTTCGACAGTCTTGACCAATCAAGCTGAAAAGTGGCTAATTTCTGGTCAGCAGTCGATTTCTTGACGCATGTCTGTTTTGGAGTCAGACGCTCTGGAAGCTAAAACAATGCCACAGCAGATTCTCAAAATATAAACAACGCAAGAATAGGAAGCTGTTTTTGGCCAGGTGGTGTATATTCCACTGTCTCTGAAATAGAGCAAGTCAAATGTTTATTTCTTATAAACATTTCCGTGACATTCTCAAAAATCATCCCCAGTCAGTTAAACTTGTGTCTCCCGCTCACCGTCAAATTGTCAAAATTTATGACCCTCTTCACCATCAGCACCACTGGCTCCCACCTGTTGTCATTGCTTCCTCCAAATCGTGCACCGCTGTGACTCACCAGGGCTCTAATGCCCCACTCCGCTCTTCGTGTGGCCCCCAGGGGGACGACAGGCCAACAAGGAAAGGCGGTTCAGCCCATCCTCATGGGGAAAATGGCAAGGCTGGGCCCGGCCCTGGCACAAGCAGCCAGCCCCTACCCAACCACTCTGTCTCTCTGCATAAGGCTCCGGGGAAAAGAAAGCAGAAAAAGATTAATATAGACGAAGCTGAAGGTAAAATCTGAACAACCTCCCTTTTCTGTTGTTTCTGTGGCTGTGTTCACACTAACCCTTCGGGCTGCCTGCAGGACTGCACAAACACCCAATGCTTTAAAGCTAGCTACATGTAGCACAGTCCAATCTTTGCTTGTACCGAATATAGCCCTGACGTGTCTAAAAGATTAATACTTACGCTGCATGCTTCTGCATTACAAAACCAAGTTTTCTGAGATGTTCTGGATGTGCACGATTAAGCGTGGGAACCTTTTTCATGTATTTCTGTTTTTGTGCGCGTCGCTCTGTGCGTGCTGCAGAGTTCTTCGACCTCATATCCAAAGCTCAGAGCAACCGAGCCGACGACCAGCGAGGCCTGCTGAACAAGAGCGACCTTCAGCTGCCGGACTTCCTGCGCCTCACGCCAACCAGCCCGACGACGCCTGCTCCCCTCAACGCCGAGCCCATCTGCTCCACCCCGAATTCCCGTAACACCGACAACGGCGGCTTCCCCAGCAGCAGCCACCGGGGCAACAAGGGAAACGGCAACCACAGGGGCGGCGTGGTCAGTGGCTCGTACCTGCTCAGTGCGAGCCATCAGTCGCAGAGCTTGGACTCGGCGCTGGGCGCAGAGTGCGGAGGTGGCAGAAAAACCAGACCGCCCCCTCCGTTTCCAGCCACCGTCTCCCCCATCCAGTCAACCCGACCCAGCGCGCAGGGTCTCCTCCAGGACTCGGCCAGGGGGGAGTCGATCCAGATGCTGGAGGAGGACGCCCTGTCAGATTTAACTCTTGTGGGAGAAGGAGATATTAACAGCCCCAGCCTCAACTACATCACTCCCTCCTCCCTGTCGAGTAAACCCCTCCCCCGGCCTCAACACGAAGCACAGGACGGTCGGCCTTGCTCAGGTACCTCCCCGGTGTGAACTCTTAAGACCGCTGAACCTGCTCCTCTCCCTTCACCTGGCTGTTAGTGGGACCGGTGACCCACTGGAGTCAGTCTGAAGTTACTTCAGTCGCCGCTACTCACACGTGGCAGAAAATGCATCTGAATCTCCTCCTTTCCTGCCACTAAAATAGTTTTCAGTTTCTTAGACGCTAATTAGAAGTTTTATTCCAGGACTGTCTAAAAATACACACAACAAGTGTGAAAGATCAGGATCATAGGGCTTCATTGCAAACAGTAGAGATTAGATTTTATTTAGACATCAGTGAGTCTGCTAATGTGAGGTGTTCAAAGGCCTGTCACAATAACAAATTTTGTTTGGACGATAAATTGTCCAAGAAATTATTGCGATAAACGATAATATTGTTGTTTAGATGCAACTAATAATAATAATTCCAGTTTGCCTTTCTTAAAATGAACATTTTTTTTGTTTTTTGTTTTTTTTTATGGAACTTTTTACACTGGAACTGGAAGATGTTTTTAATACTCAAAATAAAACACAACAATCTAAAACAATTTTTTTTAAATTGATAAAAACCTCAAACAACATAAAACCATAAATAAAATGGATTATGAAAATCTCTGTAAACAAAACTGTCCTTCAAGAAGCGCAAATCATCCGAACGGATTTATCATAATAATTACTTATTGCGACAGGCTTAGGTGTGCACTACTTTGTGGCCAGCAATCCACTTTTAGAATAATGAAATGTGTCAAAAATACAAAGAGAGGAAAATGGATGCATTGAGCATGGACAAATTGTTCCCCTGGGATTTCCTTGTGTGGTGTGTATCTGTGTGGACTTTTTCAACAGACTTGCTGTGGATTATGTTTGCTTTGAGACATAAGACTGAGGGTGAGCTTGGTATGAACCTGTGCCGAATTCACTCCTCCAGTCCCTAAATGTACAGAATCTTAACAATGCACTTTAGCCAATTGTAAACAAGACTTTATTTGTCAGAGTGTAATTTTTTTTTTTTTTTCCGTTACTCTTCTTTACATTAACTTCTCATGTCTGTTTCATTCTATACGTGACTAAGCAGCCATAGTTTTAGAAAATCATTACTTCGGTCATAGAGATGCATTGATACAAATGTTGGGGCTAGTTTCCAATCCTCCGGTTTTTTTAAAACTTTGACCTGCCGATGTGATTGTATCCAATTCCAAATTCTCTTTAAGAGTTGCTACTTAAAACTGACATTGATAATGTTTTACTCTACACTTTCTGCACAGAGCAGTCCTTATTAGGCACTGGAGACCACTGATACATTACTTCTAATGTATATTGCTGATGTACATTACTGTTGGTATATGTCGTTGACAAAGATCACCATCTCTATGTGAGATGGGTAAAATCGGATTTTGCTATCTTTAAAACAAAAACCTGTTTTAGCATCTTAAATTAGCATTAGCATGGCGAGCATTGTTAAAATCCCAGTCTTCAAGTTCATTCCCCAGAGTAGCTCTGTAGCTTAAGTCTACTATTTTCCAAAATAACCTGTATTGTAAGTTCTAAAGAACACAACAGAGTAACTTCGCTTTAGCCTTCCTTTTATCTGCTGAAAGCGTTTCTCTTTTTTGCTCTTTTGCGTCTGGAACCACGAAGATTTCTCGACATGTTGTAGAATTTTTTTTCCCCTCTCAAATATCTTCTTAGGGCGTTGCGTGCGTGGTGCAGTGGTTTGAGCGAGTGCTCCGCGTACAGAGGCTACTAACCTCGATGCGGCTGCCCCGAGCTCGAGTCCCATCCTCTGCACCTTTGCCACATGTCTCTTCACCCTTTCCTCAGCCCTTATCTGTTGGCTTACTTTCAAATAAAGGCCACTTCTTAAATGTATTTTCCTTGAGTTTTGGTAATCATCTCTCTGAAATTCAACATGGCTAACTTTGAGTCTTCTACACTCAGTAGCAACTTCCATATTATGGAGAGTTAATATCACTGAAAAATGGTAGCACTAATATATCATCAAGATTGATTGATTGGAACAAGATTTTATTATTTATTTTTCCAGCTGATCAAACCTAAACTTGACCCTGGTCACCAACCACTGGCTCGGTGCATCTCTACTCAATAGCCACTAGAAACCAAACACCAGGAAGGATCTGAAAAACTCTTAGATAGTACCACAGTTTTAAAGAGATCATATAGTTTTTGACTTAATGTAACAACTGGCTGGTCTGACTCAGTAAAGACAGAGGCTTCACTACCTTTATATACAGTACATGCGTTTTTAAAGCCATTTCCATCATTGTTCTCTTACCTCAGGCATTTCGACTGTATCGCATGTGCTTACGTGTGCAATTTTGCTCATTGATCATGTGACTTTTAATAATGTGCACTGGCTGTAAACAAGCAGATTTTCTTTTTCTTCTTATTGATCGACCATCTCTTTTTCAGATTAGAAAGCTTTGAGCTGTGTTTTATGCAAGCTTCTATCTGGACTCATTTCGTCTGAATTTTTTAACTTTACTGTATAAATCCATTAATTTATGCATCATGTTGTTTTCATTGTTACCACCGGTTGAAAGTATTAATTTGTATATAGTTCCCTGAAAACCACCATGTTGCATTCTGAAATGGTGTTGCAGCCATGCTGTCTCATTAGGAATCGGTTCAGCTGAGTTGACTTTGCGCTCTGTAAATAGTTCAAATAAATGTTTCCCACGTTTTACTCTCTCTGTATCCTCATGTGACCAACCTTCTGTCCTTTTCTGGTTTTCAGGAATATGTTCCCACTTTTTCTTTTAAGCACTGTGCCTCCTCTGTATGAAATTTTATTCCGTAGCTGTTTACAAAACAAACTAACAAAAATAGATAGTAAGCAGGGGGTGATTTATAGTCTGGAATTAATTTGTTTATTCAAAAGAAATGATACAATTTTTTTTATTGATTTCCTACAAAAGCTCAAGTCACTCAAAGCAAAAAAGCAAGCTTTTCCCATTATATTCAGTTCTCAGTAAAAAAGGGTACAATTACACACATGGTGCACATAATTAAGATTATTTAGCAATTTGAAGGAAGTTTACTGTGTTTAAATCTTGAGATTTAGTTTGGTGCTCCTGACCGTTGGAATGAGAATCAATCCCAAAGAAAGATTTGATGAGCTGCCTTAGCATCTTGAAGGACGATTGTTGCAGCTTCTGGGTCTGCTAAAGGATTCAAAGAGGTTTTGTATAATTCAAAACCACTCATGACCCCATGTGGAAAAAAGTCTACATGAAAAACATGTACAAGTCTGGCTGTCTAAGCAAGCCGATCCTAAAAGCAGACCGCAAGATGCTAAAAGAAGTCACCTAAAATATCATCACAGTTTGTACAGCAGGCCCTTGCTGATGTTGCTATGAAAGTGTGTTCCTCTGCAGAGACTGCGTAATTTCACTCTTCACAGTAGTCTAAAACTGAACAGAGGAAATGTTTGGTGTAAACCAGATACAGCATTTCAGGACAAGAACAACATCGTAACTGTGAAGCATGGAGAGAAATCGGTCTCGATTTTAGTGCAGATGAGTAGCTTCGACTTTCCATTCATCAGATGGGGGACAGAGTAACGAACCTCCGTCATTATGGTTGGTATAACAACACAGGGGCTTTCAGAGGTTGCTGAAATGTACAAGGTCAAAACATAATCCATCCATCCATCCATCCATCCATTTTCTGAACACCCTTGTCCCTCAGTGGGGTCGGGAGGGGTGCTGGTGCCTATCTCCAGCTAACGTTCCGGGCGAGAGGCGGGGTACATCCTGGACAGGTCGCCAGTCTGTCGCAGCAAAACATAATCCATGTTTGTTTTAAGTTTGTCATATTTATAACTCAGAAACATGAGGCCAAATCACCTGTAACCCTGCAATCTGCACTCATTACAAAAAGATGTGAGGAAGAAGTTATTTTTACAGGCTACCTGCAGTAGAAATCAACAGCATATCTTTAATATGGATTAAATTGCTTTATTGCTTTTATTTATATCATTAAAACCTTTTGGTTATATAAAGCAGGGTCATTAAAAAGAGGTGAAAGCTAAGTTCTTTGTGTTTGGCCCTAAAATGTTGAGTTAATTTTAACAAATAAAGGTTATGATGGTTAATTATTGCTACTGTTAAGAGGGAAACCAAAATAAAGCGCACAGTATATCTTAAATATATATATATATATATTTTTTTTTTCACACAGATTTTTATATTTCTATCTCTTTTGGTACGCTCTTCACAGGTTGCCTGTCCATGACAACACCAAGACGTGAAACACAGGAACACACAACCATGTCTGCACACACTCATACCAAAGGGCAAATTAGTGAGACAAATTAACACAACAGTCTTGTTTTTAGACTGTGGGAGGAAGCTGGAGAACCTGGGGGGAGCCCATACCTCCACATGGAAAACGTGCCAAGCCCATGCAGAAAGACCCCAGGCTGGGACCCTCTTGCTGCAAAGCAGCAGTACTACCACTGTTTAGTTGTGCCTGGCCATAAACATTATTTTATCAATCTAAAAACTCGTTACAGGTTCTTGAGTTTAAATTCTTCAGCAGTCTTTGACCGCTAACCGTTTTCTCCATCGCTTTAGCATTGTCTCTCTTTGATATTCCTCTCCTGTCTTTCTTGCCTCTTGTGTGTTTGTCTGAGTTTTGTCTTTCAGCCACAAAAGCTTTTCAGGACCGGGTCATTAGCCATGCAGGGCTTCCTCTCTGCTCAGTGTCTGGTGTAGCAACCGTTGTCATGCCCGAGCCTTTGGTCGTCGGCTACCAGACATAAAGTTTGCTCCCGCTTCCCACCACACACACACACACACACACGCTCGCGGCCATGGAAGGAGACCGTCCACGTCTGCTTGCATCACTTGCATCACATGATGTCCTGATTCTGCTGCTTTTTTCCGTTAGCATAATTCCCCATTGCTGATCGTTTCTTTTTGTTTCCCGTAGGACAAACATGTGAGAACCGCTGCAACTGACTTCATTCAACCAGTTCTGAAAATTGAGCAGAACGGGCACATCGAAATTTGTTTCCTCCTTTATGATATGAATCAGGTTTAGCATTTCGAAGGTGAATGTGCTGGAACCTTCCGGCAGAACATTTTGTACAAATACCACCGGCCTTATTGGGTTCCAACTAATTAATTTACAAATCAAAAACACTTTGTATTTTATGTCCTGAGAGTATGATTCTAACACTTATTGAACAGTTTGTGCACTGGTTTTATTATAAATAAATTAGATGTCAAGAGTGAGACAGAGTCATGTGAAAAAATGTAAATCCTATTAAATATTTTATTCTTCAGGTGTTCAGATACCAATCTCTAATTTTGGTTTATGTCTGGAAAATAGACTGCAGCCACAAACGACATAAATTAAGATTGTTTTACTCACTAAACGAAAGATATCAACAAAAATGTATTTTCTAGCCAGTGAAGATGAAAGTTAGGACACACAATCCCCTTCAAAGGGTCGAGATCAGCATTTAGAGCCAGTTCACCCCATTTGGCTGTAGTACGTCAGTGGGATCTACATAATATTACAGAAATATCCCTATAAAACACCTCAAATTAAGTTATTAAATAAAAAAGTGCTATATATCATACGTTTTCCAGTTGTAAAACTTAAAGAAAATTTTTGCAAACCACAAAAATTGAGAAAACAATGAGTTTATTAAGCCTCACTCTATCCGCCAGTAGATGGCAGCAGTCTGTACAGAGATAAACACTAACAAGCACTATCGCACTGTCTGTCCCTTGATAGTGGAGCCAAGAACCAGCATGGGAATATCTGTCATGTCCAATTAGTTTCTTACTGCCTTCCAGCTCTCTTTTTGTGGTCTGGTTGTGTGTGTGCGTGTGTGTATTTGTCTTTTACTGTATCCCTGGCGTTTTAACACTTGGCTAAAGGCTTGATATTTATGGACATATTTGACTTTAATATCTCACCTAAAGATCCGGCGAGCTGTGTGTTTCTCTCTGATGTTTGCTCGTGTTTGCAGTGGCCTCTCTCTTCCCTGTTTGTGTGTATTTAAAGCGTCCTCTTCATCCTCAGGTAAAGACAGAGCTGGGTGGAGAGGGAGGGAGAAGGGCGGTGGTGGAGGTGGAGGTGGGTTGAAAACGACAAGCAGACGGACAGCGTCTTTGAACCCCATCCCTTCCTCCCCGCCTTCGCCTCCTCCACGTCCCCCTCTTCGCTCTCGTCGCAAATCCAAGTCGCCGTCGTCCCGCTACAATCACACGGCCCCAAAACAAGCCTTGGACGTGGACAAAATCGGAGGCGGCTCAAAGTCGGAGGACCTCAGGAAAACTCGCAACGGGTCCCGAGACTTGCGGGGGCAGCACATTTCAGAGCTGGACAGGAAGTGGGAGGGCGTTGCCCTGGAGCTGCAGTGTCGTGGCAGCAGGATGAGGTCAGCGGTGTACCAGACCTCAGATCTTCCCTCCATGGTGAAAGCCAAGAAACAGCTGGACCAGGGTTACAGCAGAGGGCAGATAGACCGCAGCAAACTGAAAGCAACTTTTGTCTAAAGACCCTGATGTTGGTCTGACTCACAGACTGTGACTCCGACGACACTGATGGGTTGACTCACTGACAGCTGATGTAGCGCCTTGATTTAAAGCTGGAGCAGAGAGCTCAGCAAAAAACAACTGTGCAGCTGGTTGCAGACTCCCCACTGAAAGCTGCTATTAGCTGACGACAGGAAGAGATTAATCAAAACCTTTGCTCCACCTCCTTATATGGTCAAAGTTATTGCTCGGAGGTGGAAATAAATTTTAACTGAAATACTGAATTTTTTTTTTTTTTTTTTTTTTTTACAAAGCTTTACCTTGTAACACTTTCCTCTACAGAACTTTAAAGAAACATACTTAATCAGACAACTGCAGAATTAGCATGTAGTCATCTTTTTAGAAGATGCTTCCCTTCAACTTGATATTATGAAGAATTTATTTGGTAACTGGATCTGAAAAATGAAGCAAATTGTTTAAAAAAAAAACAAAAAAACTTTGACTTAAATGTGATTTAAGCAACGAAACATTAAATCGTTGTTTTTAACCGAGTACCATTACATGAGACCTGGTTTTCCTCATGAGGTTTCACATTTGATCTAGAGCTTATAGCATCGTATGTTTATTGTATAAGCTATGTCTACTATGTTGCTTAGAGTATCAGTGTAGTTTGCAGTTTAAACACAGAAAACATCTTGTTTATTATTAGTTAGTCCACCATTAAAAGAGTTGGCCTTCTAAAGTAACTCTTTAAGAAATTATATGTTAGTCTGGTAATTGGTTAAAATCTTTTTGGTAATATTATACCAAAAATATGGTACGTTGTCTTATTTATTTTTAGAGCCAAATTGCAAAAAGAAAATAACTGAGAAATTAAACCAGCCACCAAGAACCAGCTGTAAGCTAGCTGAAGTTTGTTTAGCTGTTATGCTAACTGAAGTTAGCTTTTGCTGCATACTAAGGTGATGTCTTTTTAAATAATAGCAACAAAACCCCAACATGGTTTAATATGATGATGATTTTAATTGAGCCAATTAACTGAGTTTTGGCATCAGCTATCTCCTTCCCTTATGTTACTGATAGGGTAAGATATATATTGGTTTTTAAAATAAATGTAAAAATATGGATACTTTTTGAAAAAATAGAGTAAAAATGACCTTGGGGGTTTTTAATCAAGTCACCAAGAGCTCGCATAAGTAAACGACAGGGACGCTGCACTTTCCGGTTGTGTCACTTCCTAAATCACTTGAAATAAATCTCACTTAAAATGACTTGCAACAGAAAATCTTCTGACTTGGCTAAAAACAACAAAAATTTCAACATACTTTACAAGGTTGAATTAAAACTGACGACTGGGTAACCTTAAACATCGCTAAAAAGAGACATCTGTACAAGTCTAGAGACACTTTGTGTAAAAATATTTCTAAAATATCTTTTATTATGCATTTTTTTTTCCACACCTAAGGCAAACAAACATTTAAGTGTAGAATTCTGTCTTAATAAAAATATTTTTTACAAACCATTTTTGCTGAGTGACCCAAAAACATAAATGAGATGGGACATTTTCAGTGCCCTTATTCACTGCATGTATTCTCGTTTCTTTTCTCATTTAAGGCTCGGCCAAGAGCTGCGAAAGGGACAATGCTTTGCAGCGAGGCCATGCTGTTTTTATTTTTTATCACTTGACAAATAAATACGAAGTGCAGAAGCGGCCGGCCAAGCGAATGGTTATTTTAACAAAACATTTCACTAAATGTTCTGGCGATTTACCTGGTTATCTCTGTGTCGTCTGCCGGCTTTTCACAAGTTAACCTTCATTCACACAGACAGAGCCGAGGCTAAGAAGATCAGCGCTGAGCCGACGCGAATCCCCGTCTAACACCCGGCTGAGAAAATGCTGCAGGAGTTTAAGTGAATGGTGCGCAAGTTATGCGCTTTTAATCAAATTAGCTACATTGCAGACAATAAGCACTCGAAGCGGGTGGACAACTGTACTAAGTTGGCAGTGGGCTGGTGGCTCCCCCCGCCCCGGGGTCTTAGTGAGAGGGAGGGAAAGTGTCTGCTGTCTGGACCCTGGGCTGTAAAGGCTATTTTGAAAAGTTGCCCCTTCTCTTCCTCACTCTCTCTTGCACACACACACTCACACACATACACACACAGCTGCTAGAAACCATGACAGAAGATGACGGATACAGTTGTCGCAGAGGGACAAGTCAAGTTTAGAGATGGAAAAAAGGTTAATTCTACAGCTTTTCTTATCTTTTTCTTTTGTTTGTTTAGAAATATGCTCTGCTTCCTCGCTGCCCACCAGAGGACAATGTTGTGTGACTTATTGTGTCTTAAACTTCTCCACAGTGGAAGACTCGTTGGGTTGTTCTCCAGAAGCCCTCCCCGGTCGCAGGTAGGAGTTCACACCTTCTACTTATGCATCACAAACACAGATCTTCCCATCTTCTTCACCCAGCACCGACCTCAAAACATTTTTCTGCTGTTAAATTAAGCACAACTTGCCAGTTGTCTGTTGGCTGCATGCCGCAGGGTTTAACACATGAGGATGTTGTTTGAGCTAAACCCGTACAAGAAAACGAGCAGAATTCATTTTTGGTTTCAAATAAAATGTGCTCCTCAGTGATGGAATCAGATATTAAACGACAAGCTGGCTTATAGAAGCGTTGCTAAAAGACTTGGGTAGTGCTCTACTGTAAATTGCATTCTTTTGAGTTGAGAATAATTTGAGATGCTATGACAGGCTGCAAATGTTTCAGCACAGATACGCGCAGCCCTGCCTGTGTCCTTGAAGAAACTGGCAAGAGTAGTGGGAATAATCTGAGCTCCTCTGCTGTGCCCTAAGTGCACATTGCACCATGTGAGCGTACTCGGAGCTCAACTTTTATTTTCGGATCAGCGAGTGGATCAGTTTGTTGTTTTTTGGGGGGTTTCTTATAACAGATGTGCCGTGGATAGACATGGGGACATTGGGTAGCTCTCAACAAACCCAATTATCACACAGTAAATGCAAAAAAAAAAAATATATATATATATATATATATATATATATATATCTGTGTTTCCCTTAGATTGCTTGACTTTACTTGTGTGCAAGGAGAAGAAGAAAGGGAAGAACATCGGACACAAGGAGAGGCTGAATGTAACACTGGAGGTATGTTCAGCAGCGGATCAAAGCTTGTATCCATCGGATCTCTGGTCCAACATTTCCTTCAGCTCTTTTTTAGCATTTCATACGCAGCATGTTTTCTGCCTCAAAAAACATGAGTTCAGTCTTCAGATTGAATAAAAATGAAACTGTACCTCACAGAAGGCTTATACGAAGCAGGGGTAGGGTTAGGTTCACTCTAACCCTATCCCGAACTGAGCAGAAATATATGAAGGAGGAGTAAGGTGCTGCATAAACTGAACCCACATAAATGTTTCAAATAAAGTTCTACCTGTTGAAAGCAGAAAGTATATATACAGAAACGCCACAAGATTTGTGGAACAAGTGGATTCCAGATCACAAGCGGCATCGGCTTTCATTCTAAGTCTACAGACTAATATCTGTAAATTTATTGAACCTGGGTGTCACAGATGAGCTCCGGTTCCTTCAGACTGAGTTCTTGCTCATTTACACACCCTTGGAAAAGTATTCACACCCTCAAATCTAAAAAAAAAAAATAATAAAAATAACTCATCACATAGACCAACCAACAAAACACAGTATTTTCATTTTTTTTCTTTTGCAAATAAAATGTTAGAAGGAGGATTTGAATTAGGATTGGGAACCCTCACAGGTAGTGGGTCAGTGTAGCTTAGCGACCAGAAGAACTCATGTTTTTTTGGGGGGTTTTTCCGAGCATATTGCGAGCAAAAACTTGATGGATTTCATGAAATCTGTAAAAGATATGAAAAAGGTGAAATGAACAGAAGTAGTTTAAAGACACGATTACATTTAAATGTTTGAATTGTGGTGCTAGCTGAAAGTAAGTTACGCTCTAAGTTATAGTAAAATCTCTCTAGCAGAATTTTTCTGAACTTATCGGGGGTTCCACTCATTTCAGTGGAGCCCAAGGAGATCACGAAATACTGAATATTTCATAAAATGTAGAAGAGGTCAGTACCAAAAGCCACTGCTGGAATGTCCTAAATGAGCAGAATGTAGGAAAAGTCGAATGGTTAAAATAGCAGAAAGTATGCAGGAGTAGTAAAGGGGGGGGAGGGGGGAAACTACAGAATTCACACTAATTTATTGTGACTTCAAAAGATTCATCAGCCAACCAAAACGAATTCAGATCAGGGGACGTTGTGTGTTATCTGGTCTGCAGTGTTAGTGTCATTCTCTTCTTCTTTCAGGGGATTTGTGGTGTGGAACCAGGAACCGGGTATGACGGCGTGCCCTACACTCTGTCCATCCTCTGCCTGGCAAGAACCCTCATCCTGGGTTTTAAGAACAGAGACGCCCTGCTGACCTGGGATGCTCGGATCCGCTACAGCCTGGGGGAAGGTCAGTGGCTTGGCCTCATGCCAAAAACACAGTCCTGCCTCGTTACTCTAGGAAATTAAGAATTTGTTGCTTTCAGGGTGAAAATTAGCAAGATTGTAAATGATACAGAAGACCACATTAAGTTGCAAGTATATCATATATTGTTTCTTGTGAAGAAAAATCAATCTCAGATGCTGTGTTTAAAATAATATATATATATATTTTTAAAACTTGATAGAAGAGGATTGAAAAGCATACAAAAATGGAAGAACACCGAGTCATTCATTTATTGAGGGTGAAGCAGATACGTCTAAGGGAGAAAATGTGCCGGATCCACGTGAGGTTTTTCTTTCACTGCTGTTTGCTGTCAGGAAAGCCTCTCGTGTCTTTTCCAGCATCCCAGCAGTTTGATTTTTGAAGCAAAAATAAACCCCTAGTGGACCAAGAGAAGCACATTTGCTGTCCGTCGCTTTTGTTTGCAGATGCTGCTCGTGCGTCAGATTTATGGACGTACCACAAAGGCGTCAATGCAAAGATTCCAGACGGAACTCTTTTATGTTAATTTTTTATTTTTTTAAATTGTGATTAATTGCATTAAAAATTTTTATGTGTTGAAATTTCTGTAATTAATTAATGGAAATTGACGCATTAAAGTCCTGACCCTTGTCAAATAATCTCAAAGTGGCTTCTTGAACATGACATCAAGTTCTAATGATCTCCACAATCACCAGATAAAATCAGAGACTATGACTGGACCAAGATCTCCAGACACCTTGTTCAATCTACGCCTAGGGTGGAACGAACCTAGTCCTAGCAAGGTGTACCTAATGAAGGGGCCTTTGAGAACATGGATGCATTTGAGTGTGTGTTTGTGTTAAACGTAGTACAACGTCTTCTCTTCAAAAAGTCTGAGAACATTTCATGAAACAGATGAATAAACAGACCTGTGACAAACTGAGGCCAGAGGAGCCCAGAGACCTGCTGAATCATCACCATCACTTCTTCACATTCAAACTTTGGGATCTGTCTTTAGCTCCACCTCGGTTATTGTGTGGCTCCTGTTCTTTGTGATTAATGACTTCAGTTACCCAGCAGCCATTATGACTTAATGAGAATAAAAAGCAGCTTAGGGTTGGGCTTTTCAACATATAAATGCTCTTCTGTCTCTTCAGCGCACAGGTTCTTTGTCAGTGTGGAACCAGGCACCAAACTGGAAAGTGGGCCCGCCTCCCTTCATCTGTGCAACAACCTGCTGGTCCTCAGCAAAGGCCTGCCGCCGGTGGTGATTGGTCACTGGAAGCTGTCGGCGCTGCGTCGATACGGTGCCGTGCCGCACGGCTTTGTGTTTGAGGGAGGGACTCGCTGTGGATTCTGTGAGTAAATACTAACTGGGAGGCGTTTTATTGCTAATCTGTAGAGGCTGTGAGTCAAAAAGACTGGCAATGTAGGTTTAAAACCTGGTTACCGAGAGGAATTTGTTTGATTTAAACGTGCAAGCCACTCAGTGTTTCTCAGAACAACATAAGTTCTTTTTTTATGCTTGGTTGAACTAAAACTCATTTCAAAACTTTGGTAAAAATTTGTTAAACAAGACAGAGAAAAGGAAGCATGGTGAGCAAAAGTAGGAATTGAAATCTCTTCCCTTAAGGTCCACTGAGTAAGACTCATCTCTACAGTTGTGAGATGGAGTCTGATGAGAATATTGTAGTTAGGGCTCCGGTGATTGGACCAGTAAGGGTTAGGGTTTGTACATTTT